AACTGGAGGCGGAGGCAGCATCTGGAGTGATGGATCCACAAACCTGGCCAACGTCATCAGAGGACTCCCCAAGTTCGATGGAGCGAAACCAGAGGACTTCAACGACTGGATGAAGGGTGTAGTCGTCGGCGTTACTCGGAGGGACATCATGCCACTTCTCAAGGGAATGCGCAGGCCTGATCCCTCGGACACCAACTTCGCCGCATACGAGAGAGCAAACGAAGACCTGTACGCAATCCTATTCTGCCTCGTCGAACTGCCGGCTGCACTAACCGTACACAAGCACGAAGACGACACCGGCCTTAGCGGCGACGGGCAGGCAGCATTCGCGGAACTGAAGGCCAACNTGCAATCCTTTTCTGCCTCGTCGAACTGCCGGATGCACTAACCGTACACAATCACGAAGACGACACCGGCCTTAGCGGTGACGGGCAGGCAGCATTCGCGCAACTGAAAGCCAACTACAATCGAGTGACAGATGAAGTGATCAGGGCTAAACTGGACGACCTGGAAAGGACGGTCATGGAGCCAGGAGAGAACCCGGACGATTTTTTCAACAAGAAACACCGCCTCCGCTCTCAACTAGAGAAAATGGGGGAAACCATCTCCGATCGCCGCTTCAAGGACATCTGTGTGCAAGGTTTCTCCGAGGACTACAAGGACATCAAGATGATGGTCTTCCGCGACCCATCATTCAACGTACAACAGATGCAAGCCGTCATGCGCAACATCTTCCTTGATGAGCAAATGCGCAAGAGAACCAAGGGCCAAATCGCTGGCCGCGGATTCGCCATGGCTACCAAGACATCTGTCCCTATCGGCTTCGAGTGCAACGAACCGGGACATGTCAGGAGGAACTGTCCCAATCGCCAGCGGGAGGGCCATAGGGCAAAGAAGACGAAGCCTGCGGGAGCAACCAAGTGGTGCTCCGTCCATAACACCACTACACACTCCGACGAAGAGTGTTACAACCAAGGAGCCAAGCGACCAGAACGCACGGGCAAGGCCTTTTCTGCATGCACACAATGCGTGCACTGCTCAAACCAGTCAAGAGACACACACGCCAAGTCTACCACAACGGAAACTCCCAATGAAACAGAGAAGACCGAGAAGGCAGAGATCGACTTCTCTTACGACGAAGATGCATTCAAGGGTGGATTCATGTACCATGCTACATGCAGCAAGGGAAGCGGACGCACTTTCACGACAACTGCAACTGGGACTTCAGCGCAGGTGGATTCTGGAGCTTCTGAGACCATGTCCGACAACCGCCTCATCCCGAATGGACGTCTCGAAGAAGAACGCCCGACGCCCAAGATCATCGACGTTGCAGGAGAAAGCCAACTACGAGGCACTACCTCTGGGATCCTACACTGCACTATCAAAGACGACAAAGAACAGCAACTAACCGTCAAGCTACAAGGTCTCATCGTGCCAGGACTAGGCCGGAACATCTTCGCACCAACGGCCCTTCTCAAGAAGGGCCTCCGATGTGTCCTGGAAGACAAGACCCCACACCTCACCATCGGCGGAGAAGTCGTCGTTCCTCTGAAACAAGAGACTCAAGACCAAGGCATGTGCACCCTCGCCATCACATTCAAGGGCGATCCAGCGTCGACAAGCAAGACACCCCCGAACAACCAAGAACCAGGGCGCAAGCCGAAGTTCGGAAAACCAGAAGCGGTACAGATCGATCACACTCCGCACGCGACATGCTCAGTGGCGATGAGCGTGAGCGCCGACCTCTGGCACCGGCGCCTCGGCCACATCAATTCAAGTGCTATGGAGATTTTGCGGCGCAGCCCCGCAACAGGTGTGAAATATGACGGACCTGTATCCCCGTGCGACAACTGCCACATCACGAAGCACGAGAAGGCTTCCGTCTGGAAGAAGACCAGCCGTGTCCTGACAAAGACAGGCCAACTCGTCCATTTCGACAACATGGGACCAATCGACCCGCCTGCGAAGTACAACGGACGCACCTACTCTTATGTCGCCAAAGCGACCGACGTCTTTACCAGAATGCGGGAAGTGTACCTACTGCGCGACAGGACCGAAACCACGCAAGCTCTGCACGCCTACAACATGCAAGTAGCATCTGAAGGCTACCGCATCGAGGTTCTACGCTGTGACAAAGGGGGAGAGAACACTGGGGAAGAAATGCGCAACTACTGTAGGGAGTCTGCGATCAAGCTGGAATTCGCCGCGACCAACACGCCCCAAGAAATCGGAGTGTCAGAAAGGGACGGCCAGACACTTGCGGCTGTGACTCGAGCTCTACTGCGCNTTATGTCGCCAAAGCGACCGACGTCTTTACCAGAATGCGGGAAGTGTACATACTGCGCCACAGGACCACGCAAGCTCTGCACGCCTACAACATGCATCGAAGTTCTACGCTGTGACAAAGGGGGAGAGAACACTGGGGAAGGAATGCGCAACTACTGTAGGGAGTCTGCGATCAAGCTGGAACTCGCCGCGACCAACACGCCCCAAGAAATTGAAGTGACAGAAAGGGACGGCCAGACACTTGCGGCTGTGACTCGAGCTCTACTGCGCGATGGAGACTTCCCAAAACACATGTGGGGGGAGCTCATGATGACTGCAGCATACCTGACCAACAGGACCCCACACGCGGCGGTAGGGGGAGCCATGCCGTATTCCAAGATGAACAACACAACCCCGGACCTTTCTCGACTTCGTGCTATCGGCGCCCGCGCGTTCGTTCATCACGAGCGATACAAGAAGAAGCTAGACGATCGGGCCTTTGAAGGCAAGCTCTGCGGTTACGGACCTGACAGCAAGACGTACCGGATCTACGTGGAGGGCAAAG